TGAAAAAATTAAAGATCGTGAGTTTGAATAAAGGTTTGTGCGGTATATGTAGGAATAAAATAAATAAGGTGCACAAACATTGGCAACAGCAAGGTGACACAAAGAAAAAAAAGAGCTTTTGTGAATTTGCGATTGAAAACTCAAAGCAGAAAACTGTGTGAAACTTAGCACTCGGAGTTCAAACGGTGTGAAACTGAAGTCACACGCTGAAGTTGCATCTATTAATTTTGGCCCTGCTTTTGACTGCACAACAGGGATGCTGAAGTTGCAGCAAGGGGAGTTTCACACAGTGTTTTTGTGTGTTAAATCCACCCCAGGATATTCTCAGTGTTTTTTTTTATTACATGTACTCAGACGTTTTTTTTTTTTTTAGCAGGTTTACAGAGGTGACGTATCCCTGCAGGTTTATATAATTTCCAGACATCTTTTTAAAACCTAAAGTCATATTTGTTTTGTTCCTCTATTTCTGTCTTTGCTAAAGCCAGGCAAGTAGAGTTAAATAAAATGCCGTAACTACTGTTAAGACAAACGTACAATCAAGGTTCGCGACACATTTGTTAAAGCCCAAATTAAATGACAAAACACAGTGTTTCCCGATGCACCTTTGACTAATAGACTGAGGTTTTTCTTTCTGCTGCTCTGAGCTTAAAGCACAAAATACAATAAGCTGTATGATGAGATAGCTCTTACCTCTGCATAAGGTTTGTTTACCAGTGTATCACGATTTTGGCTTGCAACAATTTTAAAACTAAGATATTCGAGATAAAACATTCCACATTGTGTTTTGCAATGATGCACTTTTTTTTGTCTTGTGTTAACAATCAAGCACGCTCCTTTCCTTTACAGTGGTGTACTTTTGCCTCTCCTTAAAAGATCAAATGTAGCACAGACTTGTTCATCCACTAAGAATGGTGTTCATTTCTGTCCGTGTGCAGTCCAAAATTTGTGTCTGAGACTACACTACAAGGACAATAGCGCACATGTTCTGCAGTAGTGTGTATGTTTGGAATATGTATGACCTACCATGTATGCAACAGTGACTTCGAAGCATATTTTCATGGACTGGAAAGGTAGCACAATAGCAACAACAATGCATCCATGAGTGTCTGCATCTGTCCGCAAAGCAGTACAACCAAGGGTTTAATAGGGAGAGTGAGCTGGGTTTAGACAGGGTAGTTTTACTCCCTTGATGGTTTGTTGCCAACAGTGAAACTCTATCAGCTGTGGGATTATGGCTCTGAGGGCCTCTAAGTCTAACATTTTCTCGAACTGACCAGACTGTAGCACCGCAGAAATCCGGTTGGTCTCTTTTAGCCATTCATAGCCAGGCTGGGAGGCAGATGGATGATTGTTGGCGCCCTGTTTTTTTTAGAACCTGGTGCTAAACCAACTACAGATGACCTGATTTATCTAGTTTTTAACCTTTTTTTAAAATTATTTTTTTTAAGTAGTTTTTATTTTAGCAAACTTTAAAAATTAAGGAAAACCACTGACTTTGAAAAGACATTTTGTTAAGTTCAATAAATGCGTTATATTTCCAAAGTCGATCAGCAACAATGTGTAATATTCGTTATCTCAAGATTGATGAAAGCAACTGTGATTTTAATTCTGGCCATAAATCAAATGTACTTTGTAGTATTAAGTACTAAAATCAACGGTCCTGCATTTGCTGAAGAACAGCAGCCTTCACATCTAAGTCTGATTTTTACAAACCCATCCATCCACCCTGAAATCCTCCCAATGCTGACTGTCCTCATCTGACTTACTTCTCTGCTCCCGTCATAATTACCACAGCCACTTGAGGATTTCTTGGGAGGACAGTTTTGGGACTGTGCCTGAAAAAAAAAAAAGAAATTGCCTTTTCTTATCCAATTCCACCATCTCATCAAGTCCATGCAGACCCCTCCACACATACAAGGGAAACAGGGTGCATGCTTGGCAGTAGTGTGTTGTGTGAGCATTTAGATAGATAGATAGATAGATAGATAGATAGATAGATAGATAGATAGATAGATAGATAGATAGATAGATAGATAGATAGATAGATGCTATATATTGTATGTGAGAATAAACCTTCAAGCAGTCAAGCAGATGTATCCTAATCCAAAATATGAATTAGCACAAACAAAGCTGTGCATTTTTGATATTAAGTATAGGTTTGATGTGACTTATTGGGACGCATCTGGACACAGGAGATGTCGCAGACCATGGTGTTGGGGTGCAACATTAAATGCAATGCACTAAACTCCTCAACTACCATAAGAGGAGCTGTGGGCAATCAATGAAAGAAACTTTAGAAAACGTCCAGGCAGGACGTTACCACACACCACTGAGACTACATGGTGGGAACAGCTATAATTCAAAAGATGTTGCAAACTATAAACCTGTAGTAGCCGCTTGTGGCCGCAGTGTGGACCTTACACCCCAGCTGGTTGTCTGGGATCACACTGAGACTGCTGGTAAAACTTCATCAAAGCCACAGCACTCTAAAACTGCTGGATACGAGGTCAGTTTAAGACACATTCTCCTGACTTTTATCATCCTCAAATCAGATGGAAGTTGACAGAGAAAGCACTGCAGTGGCATTGCTTCCCAGGGAGCAAAATAAAAGAACAGATTGAAAATACAACTTCTCAAAACACAATGGAAAAGCCTATACACCCAGGGGGGGGGGATAAGGCATCTAAAATGTGATGTAACTCCTTTTCATCTCAAAACGCTGGATATGTTAAACCCAAATGTCAGGAGAGATTTGTAACAGATCTATTGCTGGATTGACCCTCTGCTCCTCAGATCAATTTTGGCCTTGTAGAATATATTAGTATGTATTACGCAAACACGTGCAAACCGTCTTTTCATCTCTGGAGGCCACAGGCACCATTACCATAACCTTTAACCAAGTAGTCACCCTTAAATTTAACAATTCACTTTATGAGGACTTGCTGTTGCCAAGAGGTCCCCACAGTGTGTCTGCGTAAACACACTAACGTCCCCATAACGTGAGTAAAATCACACATACACACACTCTGTTCAACTTTCCATCTTCCTTTGAATCCCTCAGCCATATCAAGCCTCTGTTTTGTACCATAATTAAGACAGACAGATAAGTGCAAAGAATCTGCGCTCTCCCACTTGCTCACTTGTAAGCCAGCACACACAGTCATACGGACACACACACACACACATGCCATTTCGCATTATAAAGAGCCCTTTAATCTCTGAAGGCAAAATTATATTTGCATGATATTATTAATCCTTTCAGCACAGCTACGGAGACATCTGACACATACAAACACATGTCAAGCGCACACACACACACACGCCGCATGCACACAGCTAACATGTCCATTCATGAGGAGCTGCGCTGAGAATGGCAGCTCCAACCTTTCACTCAGCTCAGCGCTGGCACTTTACAGTAATTGCTCACGCGATTCATGACAGAAGCCGCGAGGTATCAGTAAAGAACATCCACTTTCGGTGCTCCCCTCCCCTAATCCGTCTCTCTACCTGTACTATTCTGGTAATTAATTTTCTCTCTCGGTTCCTGAGGTGATGTGTGGCTGCGAGTGTGTGTGTGTCTGTGTGTGTATAACCAAGTATTTCATTATGTGCTGCTGTCCTTATTCTCTGGTGTGTCTGCCCGCACGTCTCAGCGGTGTTTTTGAATTCAAAAGAGGGTCTTTGTCAGGTAGCTCAAGCTTCTTCAAGGACACCAGGTGCTCCAGACAGCCCCGAGTGAAATTTCTTCTTTATTGGTGAAGTAGGTGGTCTGAGAGGAAAATAGAGCAGCAGACATTGTCCAATCTGGTTCCTGCTTTAAAGGCGCGTAGCTCTAGAGGCCAACCGACTCCCTCTCGTTATGTGAATCTATTAGAGAATCATACACTTACAAGGGGCTGAAATTGGTGATAGTTCAGGTATTTTGGGCCCGTACTTAGTAATATGTGAGTCTAAAGGTGTGTTGAGACAAACTGTTTGGTGAATCAGAGAAGCAGAAAGTATTTTTTGCACAGTTTGAAGTGAAAAAAGTTCATGAAAATAGCAAAATTTAAAAGAATATTCTCAATTTCACCAAAAAAAAAAAAAGTTTTAAAATCACTTGAGGTGTTTGAGGGGGAGCTGGAGAACATCCCAGCTGGGCGAGAGACAAGGTGCATCCTGGAGGGTTTGTCAGTCCATCACAGAGCTAACACAAAGAGACAGAAAGCCGAGCACATTCACACTCACACACAATCATCAAGTAACCTTCCATGCATGTGTTTGGACTTTAGGAGGATGCTGGAGCACCTGGAGAGAACCAAAGCAGGCACAGAAAGAACATGCAAACTCCACACTGACGTCCTAACAAGCAACAGGTTCAAATCCAGAACCGCCTTGTGTGTGTGTTGTGACAGTGCTAACCACTGCAAAGGGTTGCTTTGCTATCAAACAAACTAAATCCTAAACCTGTAGAACTTAGAAGTATTCGAGATCATCAGTGAACACGGGATTTTCTTTACAGTAAAAGTCATAATTAAATGGAAGACTTTTATACTGAACTGATTCCTGACTGTAGTTATTTTACTTTATCGTCCCTTTTTCATGTTATTTTGGGCTTTTGACTAAAGCCTAAAAATGTTTAAACTTACCTGATCTAGACAAATTAAATTAGTAGCCAGGTATAGAATAATAAGCAGAGCTCTGTAACAGACAAATCACTCTGCTCTAATATTTAAAGTACATTTTGAAGGGGAAATACTTGAATTGGGAAGGAAACAAGTCTTTGTGAAGCTTTGAAGAGGCGGTGAAGTTATGTAGAAGATGACCTTGTTGGTTTGCGGGCTAAACGCAATTTTTAAGTTTTTGTCAGTTTGCCTTGCTCTGTGTATTCTGAACAAGCTGTATCACTTCTTTACATTGCTAAGTGCCCTCAACATATTCTCCTGTTTTTCACTATTTCTAAGAAATTTCCCTTGTGTTTTCTTGTCTTTAGCCAGTTTTCCTTCTTTCTGCTTCCCCAGGTGGATTTTGCCTTTATCGTGTGGCAAAGTTTCCCCGAGCGCATCGTCGGGTATCCAGCACGGAGCCACTACTGGGATAGTTCCAGATCGCGCTGGGGCTACACTTCCAAGTGGACCAATGACTACTCCATGGTCCTGACAGGAGCTGCTTTCTACCACAGGTACAAAACCCTTTTTTTTTTTCCTCCTGATCGCTGAAGCACTGCTGTTGTTTTATTGATTAGGGCAAACTTGTCCCTTTTGTACAGTATTCATTCAAATATTTAACATGGCAGAGAGGAGGAATATTCATTGTCTTGCATTTTTATAAATTTTCTATTAACAAAATACAGTTTAATAGACATAATCAGTTGGAAAAATATGGCTCTTCCCCACTTATACTTTGGTGCTGTTAGCATTTGTACCATTAGCACAAATGTTCCCACAGTCCCAATCATCAAAAGAAACCCCTAATTTCTTCCCCAAACACATTTGAGAAAGGCCATGATTTTATTCTTGCTGCCACCAAATAGCAGCTGGTAATATATATTCAGAAGTCTCTCGCCCTAACCCTGGACATCTTAACAATTATACTGAGTTCAGATTTGCTGATTGTGGGGCCGGAGAGTATGACCCAAACACTCCTTTCAGTGCATAGTGAAATTAAAACTATCTGCAATCAGGATTTCTATTCACACCCTACCGTCCTAAAACAACCTAATTATATTACATTGTTTAAATCCCATAAAATAATAATACCCTTTGATGCCCACAAAAAAGTTAGTGTCTGTGAAAATGTTTAAAGGCTGAAAAATGATGCTGCTGTTATGAAAGTTTTATTAAATCTTGACAAGCGGCTGGCCATTCGTTTTATTTACATCACTATGAAAGGAGTGGTGTTTCAGTACCTTGTACACTGAATAAACTGTTAGTGATCATGTAAAGACATGCAAAAACAGTGCAATAAAAATAGTGCTTTTCATCTCGATGTCACTCTTTAGCCTGTCGTCCAGCTACTCTTTCATCAGTGTGCCTTATGGTGCACTTGTTCTGCATCCCCCGTCATGCTGATCAATTCCAGCTTCACCGAAACACTTCTCCACAAGATACAAACCACGTGAACAAGCGTCTTTCATTTTATTTTTACTGCGGTAATAGAAAAAGAAATGGGATAATATAATCTTTCTCCACCTCTGTGTTATCTAATAAAGTGATTGTCAAAAATACAATGCTCCGGACTAAAATAAAAAATGGTAAATTCAAGTATTAAGCAGAGCGGTAAATTGAACGAGGAGTGTTTCTCTCTGAAGGGATTTGAAGCATCTTGTCACACAGATAAACAGCTCTCTCGTCGTTCTATTGTTAGGACGCTCAATGCGCCTCTTTAGTCCTTTTGTTATTCAGACTCTCAAATGCCAACTCAAAAAATAAAAAATAAAAAAATGAGTGGAAATAAGAAGGAGAGGTGGAAAGTGTGTGTGTGCGCGTATTTGTGTGTGAGACCGAGGGACAGCAGACCTTGGCAGGGAGGTAACAGAGTTGACAGTGATCTAGTGCTCCCATGCTGCTGAGAGTGCAGCACAGCAACCATACTGAACAGAACAGAATAAAACAGAATAGAACAACGCTTTTTAAAGAGATAACAACCTGGCCTGTCTTTTTTTTCCATGGTGTTTCAGATACTACCACTACCTGTTCACTCACTACATCCCGTCCAGCCTGCTGACTATGGTGGACCGCATGGCTAACTGCGAAGACATCCTGATGAACTTCCTAGTTTCAGCTGTTACCAAGCAACCGCCAATCAAAGTAACACAGAAGAAGCAGTACAAGGAAACCATGATGACCCAGGTGGGACAGAGTTTTACACTCATAGATACATATACACCGGGGCTATACCGACCATGAGGTATCAGCAGACCATTAATGGAGGGGCTGCTGCAACGCCACCCTCTCACTATAATCAATGACAGTGTCTTCTCCAGACATGAGATCAGAGCGTTGTTGTACTTTCCACTGAGCACGTGATGCTCCACTGCACATGATGTAAATTTCGTCATCTTCTTTAGTCCATGGGAGTCCTCTTGCATCCATCCGCCAACGTTCGCAGTAGAGTGCAACCACAGAATACATAAAGAGTCCTCCAAGCAGATTCCAGCAAACTAAGAAGGTTGTATAATAACAACAACTAAGCATCCATGAGCTGCTGTTTGTGTGCGCATCCAGAAGGAAGCGTTGCATATGTGCTGCTGAAATGCACGCCGCAACTATAAAAATAGATCAGCTTTTGATTCATATTTGTAACGCAGGGTGTGCGTGGTCCTAATGCTTCCTCAGAAACCTTGTCTTTTACAGAGTCTGCTGTCGATGTTGCCTTACCCATATTACGCAAACTCGTTAAAAAAACGTTGTTTCATAGTACTGTGCTGGTTCCAGAAACTAAAGATACAACAATCCCAAAATGAAAGCTTCTTGTTTTGCGTCTACCCAACATCGTACTATGCTGCAGATGTAGCCACTAAAAAGACATCTGGGACACATCTGCTCTGCCAACAGTCTGCATACGCGTTCAGGGTAGCCACAGGTTCAGACTGTGTACACTCATGCGCTGTTCCCTATACAATGAATGTATTTCTAGCTGTACTTGCTAATCCTTTAAAGCATCGAGGGGAGCAGAAGTCAATTCCAGCTGATATTGGCTGAGAGGGGAAGTATATATGTGTGCCCCATTGTCTGTCAATCACAGGGCTTCAAAAATAGACCATGATTGTAACCCGTTCTGATGATACAGAGTTTCAAAATTACTGAAAACTTCTTAATTATGTCCAACACATATCTGTTTTTGTATGATAAATAAACATAAAATACTTGATTTGCTTTCAAGATGTGCTAGTTTAGATGACTGACCTGTGCACATACACTGGGCAAGTAGGCCTCTATATGTGCACTCTTGAGTGAGGATAATTGAAAAAAAATCTGCTGTTTAAACTGTTCAAAAACAAGACACAGCATGTATGGCTTGCCCTCACAATGACCAAGAAAAAAGCTTAAAAGTAAAGGTAGTGAATCTACCCTGAACATCGCCTTGGGCTCGTAGGGTTAAAGATCAAAGTGAGTTGGAAGCAGATGCAGCCAGCTGCCTTTTCTCGGTGAGCCAACTGGAGATCTCTGTTTAATTAAAGGTGTCAGAAAGAACACGAAGGCCTCAGATCTTCCTCAAGTGTTTATTTTCATGTCTTTGGCCTTTTGCCATTGACTGCTCCATGTACTATATGATAACCAGGGCTCCAGATCAAAATATCACACTGGTCGCTTCAGTGTGGTCGTTGCCTCCCATCCTTTGGGCACATCTGTCATTACCATTTACCAGGTTGTTTTGCTATGAAAGCTGCAAACAAACATAGATTTCTTGTGGATCAACAGCTCTGACATTTGTCTGACTTGATGGTTTGGTTTTTTAAATAATGCATTGCCAAAGACATGAATCTAGGTAGTCTCACTTTCCAACTTGCTAATTTAGGCTTTAGAGCAAGATAGGGAGACTGCCAGTGTTAGATGGCTGTATAACATCTTTGACAAAACAGGCAACCAGCATTACCAAACATTGTTAAAATATTAAGTTTAAGGAGTATGTCGATGACAGCTAGTGAGGGTAACAACGTTCGCTCAGTCTCCGAATCACACACATCCCCAATCCAGACCAAACTGAAGTCAGATCTGGCTCCAATTCCTCTCATTTATTTTGTAGCACTATATCACATAATTAGTCACCTATGTATTATATAGTTGTGCGTATTATAAAGTAGCCTGAATCTGCAGTGAACCAATGCTGTAGTGACAATGATGTAGGAGCTTCCAGGTTTTAATCCTCCTCTTTAAGGTGTCCTCTGTAATGTATCTTTCAGGTCTAAAAATCATGTTGAATGTATTTCCTTCCTTATAAAATATTAGCAAAATTGGCTTTTTTGTGTAGTTTGACCTTTTTCCATTGTTACCGTCCATGCTTGTTGACACCGTCCTGCTACCACCTCCTCATCAGTGGAACTGTCTGAGGCAGTCAACAGGAATACGTGGTCAGTTGCTTCCTATTGCACCTGCCGGTAAAGAATGAGACTCAAACGAAGTTGAGATTCCTTTAGCAAATAGTTGCTCCATGACACTACCGCTGGTCAACAAATTCACCCGTTAACCTTAAGGGTGTTTATGAGCAACCATACAGTTTAAAAAGGGTGAAAAAAAAATGCATGTTGAGAAAGAATAGTGTCTCTCCAAGATTTTTTATAATTTAGAGACGAAGATGAAAAGTCTCTTGTTGTGTTAAATGAGTGATAGATACAGGCCTGACCTTCTCTTTGGGAGATCCCTGTGTGTGTAGGTGTGTGTGTGTGTGTGTGTGTGTGTGTGTGTGTGTGTGTGTGTGTGTGTGTGTGTTCATGTGGCCAGCCCTATGTCAGGTTCTGATTGATGGCCTGACCACAGGCAGGACGATGACTCGGCAGTATGGACTCAGTGATTAATGTCTTAATTGTGAAGGCAGTACGGCAAACCTAGATTTACTCCCCCCCTCTTCCCTCCCTTGCTCTCTCTTTCTTTCTAAGTCTTTTCCTGCCTCCCCCTGTCTCACCCCTGATTTGTTACTTTGCTTCAAGCAACAGCAGATGGGCATTTAACATGGAGAAGGTGGAAGGGGCTGATGTCTTTTGGGACACTTTGACCAGCAGCAACAGTTTAATGAAGTAATAGAAAAGCCTTGACTGCTATTTTAAGCAGTTTTTTTTTGTTTGTTTTTTACCAATTCATTTTGGATTTTAGGTGAACAGATCTCCCATCAAGATGTCAAACTGCAACTGTTGCTCAAATTCTTTGTAGTCGCATTATTGTTACCTGACCCCTCGCAGCCAAAGCTGCCACAATATCAGTCTCTTTCAACCCCACAACCCCTTGCCAAAGCTTATTGAAGGGGTCCGCTGCTCTCCACCTTGCCTTTACCAGCTCTATCTCCACCTCATCTCCCAGCAGCCACCAAAGGTCTCAAACCCCATCTCTACCACCCACGGCCCATCCAAAATTATCGGGTGAGCATGCAATGCAGCATGTCATCTAATGTCTTCATTTTTTTGTCAACTGCATGGGGAAAAAACATATGAGCCCCATTGCCTGAAAAGAAAAAGAAAAATGTTCAGATAATGCAAGAGTCAGAGCACTCAGGAACTATGTGGTGAAACACAGAAGGATCTGGGTTTGTAGTTGACCCACAGTGCCCACAACCTCCAGGTAATGCAAGCAGCAGACCCGTACAAAGCAACAGAACATCATCGCGTCAAGCAGCTCTAATCTTGCAACAAGTGGAAGTGGTTCCAATTGGACAAACAGAGTGATGCCTCTTGGAACCATCAGCCAAGGTCAAAGCTGCAATGCCTCCAAACAACGACTACATCATCGTCAGCCTAACAGCTGAGATTAGGGAAGAAGACTGCAGTCAAATGTAACTATTAACAACTGAGCAAGCCAGATTCACCACCTCAGGCAGAAGCTGAAGAGCCCGAGGCAGCAGTACAAGGTAGAGAGAGGGGACTTCTCATAGAGTTGCACAGCACCCTCAGTTAAAAGGCTTATGACCGTGAGTAGGTCCAAAATGAATGGCAGACAGAGAAAGGACAAGGCCAGGAAGAAAACTGCCTTTATAGCTGCTGGGGCCGAAACACCTCCCCCAGTTTACCTTCTCCAAAGCTTAGATGGTCCATCACCTCCAAGACAACTTCAGTGATGGATCTAGGGGGCAAGGTCTGGGTTACTGTGAGTCATTCATCAACCCACCAGGACCAACTTTGGACTTTGATGGAAAGGAGACTGGCAAAAAGGAGGTCCAGGAGTGTGGTTTCCTACAAGGTTCATAAAAGAGTTTCAAATTTTCTCTTCAGACTCTACAAGATTTTAAAAGTGGCATGGAGTATGGACAAGGCAGTTCTTCTGTGGAGGTACATTCTACAGTGTTGTCACCGGGCACCTACAGACTACATCCAGACAAACTCCTAAAATGATTTCAGCCAAGAAAATAGGGATCCAAAAGGTACTTGACCTAGAAGCTTGACAGAACAAGGGAGAACAGGTGGTGTAGTGACTGGACCTTGCAAATGCCTATGGTAACATACCCCACATGCGGGTCAGAAAGGTACTAAATCAGCACCGTATGCCAGGTACGTCCAGGGAGCTCATCCAGACTACTCCAACAGCTTCAGTCTGAGATTTGGCACTGGCTCAACAACCTCAGAGCAGCAAAAGGTTAAGCAAGGACTTATTACCAGACACAATATCTCAGGGATCTTTTTCCTGCTTACTAAGAGGTCTGCTAAGGGTTCAGTGCAGAGGGCCCCTCACCAAGTCTGGCATCCGACAGCTGCCCATTTGGGCTATTTGGTGACAAAAACATATCTCTCAGGTAGTAGGTGGATCCTGAAGGGTCTTGAGGAGCATATCACCGTTCATGTCCGTTGTTGAAGTCCAGGTCCAGACAGCAAAGGTCATCAACAAGTTCCACTTAACCCTTTGTAGCATGTAGATGCCATACATAGATTGGATAATCAGCTGATTGAGGACACCTGCGGCACAGAGTGGCTCACCTGTCTTCAATCTGCACCTGCCGTAAAAGAAGGGCTTGGTTCACCACACGAAGCTGGACCATTGGACTGTGCACAGTTAGTCAACTCAGGCTAGCTTTAGCTCTATTTCTGTTCATTACCTTGCTTGTTTCCTAGCCTTGTGTTACCTGATCTTGGTTACTTCCTTACTCCTGTGTACTTTTCGTTTCTTAGGATTAAGTCTCTACTACTTCCCATGGTTTGTGGTTGCCAGTCTGTTGTCCCTTCTGGGCTTCCATAGTTCTCCTGTGTCCTATTTTCAGCAACATAATTTGCTGGCAGTCCTGTACTTATCGCTGTTGTACCTGAGCTCAGCTCCCCTTCTTATTTGTCCCCCTATTCCTCCCATTCAGTGTTTGCTTTCCTCTTTTTGAATTTTGTCTTAATAAACTGTTAAACCTTTATGGGTGTGCTGTATCTCTCTGTATTCACCGTGACAGCCTGCAGCTTTAAATGTAGACTATTGCAATCATCTGCCGTCTGATTGGACAGCTTGACTCTGCTTTGTGATTGGATTGTCATCATCTAGTCAGATTGATGTGCTACAACCACAAACTGTTTGCCTAACGTATCCAGTTTCAAAAGACCAACGTGGCCAAATTCCAAATTCAAGGCTTCAGTAAAGTGTTCTCCAAACCAGTGGGTGATGTCATGGTCACTAACTCCATCTTATATATACCGTCTGTGGTAAAATGATCAAAATTTAAACAGGATTTTCTTACAATATAGGGCTGTGTTATAACTACAAACTATAAGCGAACAAAACTATTCTAGCTCAATCTTATTGACCCTAATTTTAGCCAATCCATCACCTGCTACAGAGCTGTGCTGATTGATTCCTCCACTGCTCTAATACAATCATCTTCTCCCTCCCTCTCTTTGCTTTTCCAAACCAAGGGTTCCAAGGCGTCTCGGTGGGCTGACCCGGACCACTTCGCACAGCGACAGACCTGCATGAACGCCTTCAGTCACTGGCTGGGTTTCATGCCCCTAGTGCACTCCCAGATGAGGTTGGACCCTGTTCTGTTCAGGGACCAGGTTTCCATACTGAGGAAGAAATACAGGGACATTGAGAGGCTGTGAACGCACAAGGACACACGCCAAATCACTGAACGAGGAAAAGTAAGAGAGGTCAGCAAGGTGCGAGTGTGTGCTTCGGTTTCCTGCTCGAGAGCGCAAAAGAATACACACCGAATGAACATTTGAAAGGCTGTAAAGGTAAAGTCACACAAGCAACGGACATAAAGATGATAAAACACGGAGAGGACATTTAACTGCGTACTTCTATGAAAAACTAACACTGCTTCTGTATGCGTGGTTGATAACAGCAAACAGCTGTGCATATCTGCCATCTGTGACAGTACACATAATTATGAATGCATGTAGACACATGCAACAAAGGGCCTGGACACATTCCAGCCAGTCCTGACCACAGACATACAGTACGTGTTGCATGGTTTGAACAAGACAACTGTGCTGTGTAGGACCTAAAAAAAATAATGTGTGTAAAAAAAAAACAATTCTAAAAGATATCTATTGTGAAAATTGACAAAAAGGTTGAAGAGATTTATGAGTTATAAGTTGTATTCATAAGTCAAAGGATACACTCTGTGGGGTTGTACAGTAGAGACTCACTGTGGACAAAACAAACAACGTGTAGCTTCTGGTTTAGGCCACATGACAGCTGCTATCCCAAAAACCCCCCACAGTCAATGGCAATATGCCTCTTGTATACTATTGTAGATTTTCAGCAGCAGTTCTTGTCTGTATGAAGCAAATAAAAAATAAAATAAAGAGATGTTATGTTATAAGGAGAGAAGCTGGATCTGAGCTTCATTTCCCTTGGAAGAGTTTTTATAAAATGTTTTCCTTAATAATTTCTTTCAGAATTTTTATATTGCCATGTTCCATTTTTCTTTTCATGTTCATTTAGGTTAAAAACAAAATGCACATCTACATCTCCTGTGGTTATTTTTATGTCTTGTACTGTAGATTCTGACTCTTCTTCCCTCCCCCTGGTTGTGTATAGGTGCCAAACAATTCATTCTCAAAAAAAAGAGATCAAATCATAAATCATATATAATGTATAGAAGAAAATGCCGCTAGTGAAAGATCAACACTAGAAATACATGAAGGGCTACTGTATTCGTAACACATTAGCCTCAGATAGCATTTCGCAGCTGAGTGTAACGCAACCAAGACAGGAATTAGCAACTCCAAGTCGGAGGCCATGGTTCTCTGGAGGAAACCAGTCAGTTGCTTCCTCTGGGTTGACGGTGAGTTGCTGCCACAAGTGAATAGTATTTCAGGATCTCAGTCATTACTGATGGGAAAATGAAACCTGAGATAGACGAATTGCAGTGTCAGCAGTAATTTATGTGTTGTATCTGACTGCCGTGGTTAAGACGGAGGAAGGTGAAGCTCTGGAGTTGATCCACATTCAAATCCTCACCTATCTTGAGCTGTGCTTGACCAAAAGAATGAGACTGTGTGGATACAAGCGGCCGAAATAAGTTTTCTCTGTACAGTGGCTGTGCTTAGTTCTGCAGATAGAATGAGGAGCTCAGACATCCGGAGGGAGCTTGGTGTTAGAGTCAGAGCCTGCAGAAGGGATTACATATCTCCCCTGCTCTGGGAGCACCTTGAGAACCTCCAGGAAGAACTAGAACACGCTTGCTGAAGAGATGGACGTCTAGAATGACCTGCTAAGCCTGCTGCCGCCACAACCCATCTCTGGATAAGTGGAAGAAAGTGGATGTATGGATCGCCTCACATACATTGTATAGTGGTTGCAGTAGGTGGGCGACCTGACGATTTTACCTCCCTCTATTTTAAGGGATTGTACAGATCACATCCCGTAAATAAAAAACAGTGCGGTTTCCAACTTCCTGCTCATAGTTTAATAAAGTTACTGATGTTGTTTCGTGAGTAAATGCACTCTGGAGACACTTGTTTGAATCCTGCTGCTGCAAGTATTTAATACACTCAGCCGGAAATACCAAACGAAACGGCATAACTGTGTGTGACAGCTGTCTAAGGAGAAGAAAAGTACTTGATGGGACGATATTAATTTAGAATTGTGCATATTTAACTCTTGCTTTAGAGATGCACATATGGATCCTGCTGTTGACTGATGCTGCAGGTATTTGTTATACATGGAGGAGGACTTCAAGCTCCTGTTCATGTCCTGTGGGGAGAAAAATCTGTATTACATTACTCATTGATGAGTGTCATTAATCTACGTGGTTAATGGCTGTTTTACTCATCGTTAAGTTTTTGTTTTTATTTTGTTTTCAAGGACAATTCAGTTCGCAACTGAGTAGATTTGAAAAGCAGTGTGTTGTGATTTTGGCAAACCCTTAGAGTGCCATTAGTTGTGTGTGTTACAGTGCAGTTCAGACTTGTGTCATGCTGGAAGGTAAAGAAATGTTACTAGGGTACCAGGGTGCACACTCAGACATGTCACTTGCCGTCAGATTAACCGAATAGACTGCATGTCAGTAAGAGGCTTTATGTCATAAAGAGATTTGTGAATTAGGCCCTAAACCTCGTGGCAAGTTATGTATTTGGGCAGTAATATGCACAGCTAATCGTGACCTCATGAGCTCATGGATCAAGGTTTTTTTCTCCCACTCCAAATGGCGACAACACTGATCCAACGAAAGCATTTAAGAAATAGATGAAAGATCACTTTGCTAGGTCACAGTCAACAAAGATCACGAACCTTCTCTCACCTCAACAACAGAGGCTGCAGATGATTTTTTTCCCCTAAACAGCTATCGGCCCCAAACCTCAAACATAGGTCCAACTCTGTTCACTGTATTTATGGTAAACAGTCCACACTTCTAGAGCTATGTTCTGCAACGCACTTCACATCGGCTTCTCATTCACTTGATGACACACACTCACACACCGGTGCCCGCAGAGCTGTGCTGTAAATGGCGCTATCATGCCCCGGGGAACACCTTGACTCCGTGTCTTGTCCAGGGACGCTTCGGCACGAGGGAGGATCACCACAGATCGACCAACTCGACCACCAGGGCCTGAGCGTGTTTTATGCCATGTTGACGTTTAGGTTGAGTTCAAGGAGACAGAAAGCAGTTCAAGGTGCACTGATGAGGAGTTAGTGATCCAGGAAAAGCTCCAGAAGTGAGAATGTGAACCTGATATCCATGATTGTTACAACTGGTGCTCATCCTAATGGGGTCAAACACGTAGAGTAAATTATATTGTGTATACACGCATGTCATCAGACGACAAAAATGTGAAGCGAGCTGCATGCAATGTTACCCTGACAGATCAAGGTAAACAATTGCATCACTTTTAGACAGTAATGAATACACTTTACAGGCATGCACATACTGTCCATGTGTATATAGTTTACAAGGAGGGTTGTTCCCATGACCATAAAGGAGCCAATCAGCTCATCTCTTTAATGACGCTCCTTCATCACTTCTGTCATTTTTCATTTGTTTTCTCTTTCATCTATTTTTCATTGATTTTTTTTTTTTTTCCCCTCCTCACATTTCTCCTCCTCCCTCCTCTCAGAGACAATAATTACAATCACCTGATCTTACTTTCTATTGTTCCCTGTGCACCGTTCCTTCATCTAACCCCCTTTCTTCTTTTCAGGTCCCCCACCCCATTGTTCCCTCCCATCTCTCAAAGGCAATAACAAGAATCTCTTTATCATCTGAAGGTTATCACAGTTTTTCCTCCCTCTTGATATGACGTGCGTCTTCAAACTAAGATCTCAGATGACAAACTCAGTCATCAAACGAAGCGATCGGGGGCTACATTCCCTTTTAGGCAACATCTTAAGATAATGTAAATATTGATATCAAAACCACACAACATCAGCTGCTGGTTTGAAAAAAGGGTTTGAATGCCATTTAAAAATAATGCTTCATAACAAAAGGGCATCTTCTACTGTTTTCTACCAATGACATGCCTTCAGGCACTTCAGCTTCTCATATGTCTTCATCAGCTACCACACACTGAGAACGCATTTGCATACTGCATTTTGCTTCAGGTTTTGTTTTATTATGTGTGACTTTGCATAAAAAAACCTTACTGTTTATTTGTACATTTGCTCATTCTAGATGAGATTATTTCATTAATCATTGATTATGTATCATGTTTGGGTCATGCTGAAATAAAAAGGTAAGTCATCTATTATTTGATTGACAGGTAATAAACTGATAATCTTTTAGAGTATTGGATCAATGTGAAGCTAATTTAGCATTTCTCCTTGATAAAATGTGAGCATTTGTTAATTTCCTCTGATTTGTATTATTGTAAATGACAATAACTTACAGGAGTTGATGAATGGAGTGTTAGTCGACTAAGTCTTGATTGTTCAGTTGGTTGCAGAAACAAGAAGTCAGAATCTAGAAACAGTGGCGACACTGAGTCAGTCACAGATACCATCTACATGGCCGATCACTGCTGCCTTTAAAACTATTCTCCCCTCATTTCTTGCTAGGTCCTTGGTTTTTGAAGACAGCCTGCTCCAGGCAGATTAATGCATGTGCCATATTCCTTCCGTTTTTTTAATGATGGATTCAGCTGTACTCCAAGGGATATCTAGTGACTTGGAAATGTTCTTGTATCAATCAGCTGACTTATGCTTTTCAATGAAC